GGGGGGGGAAGCAATGAGGGCTCCATCAATGTGGAGTTCCATCACAGCAGGTCGATCGACCTTACTGCCACAGGCTTCGGGCCGGCAGTCTCGGTCCGCGGCGACGTGCTCCGGTGTCGGGACTCCGAGTCTGAATGGGGATGTCGGTCAGAGCCAGGGCAAATGCGGGCCCGGGTCGGGGGAGAGGCGGAGGTCGAGGGGAAAAAAAAAGAAAAGAAGTGCGCCCCACTCGCCCGTCGGAGTGCAACCGGAGCAAGCACCATGGACGTACCAGTGGAGGTGCACGAGGGGTCGATTCTGGGGGCGATGGCGGCAGTGGCATCGCCAGCAGCAGCAGCAGCAGCGGCGGCGGCGGCGGCGGCAGCAGCGGCAGCGGCCCGCTCGGCGTCCACTTGTCGCCAAAAGTCCGAACAGTGAGCCGGTAGATCGAACATGGTGGCGCTGTCGAAAAAGCCCGAGCAGCTGCCCAGCGGAGCCGGCTGCCAGTCGGGCACCTCCTCCCAAAGGCCGCGCGGCGATGCCATAACCACCGGGCTCGAGCTGGCCGGCGTTGGGGCGGGGGTATCCGGGACAGCCGGTGCCCGGGCCCCCGGCGCCGACATGGTCCCCGGTAGCCGGGCCTCCAAGGCCGCAAGGCGGCTTAGTTGCGAGCTGATGGCCCGACTGACGACATCCGGCCGAGTGGAGGAGCTCTGCGATGGGGCGCTTCCAGCGGGCTCGAGGGCGGGCATTTGCCCGAGCAGTTCCTGTGCCTGAGTGGCCAAAGCACGGTGTGTGCCGGTCCCGGCCAGAGTGGCCACCTGAGCCAGCAGAGCGGCCAGGTCCCCGCGGAAGCGGGCGCCTCCGTCACCGCCAGTGGCCGTCGGGGGACTCCGGGCCAGGGCCACAGCGCGGCCCAGTAGCGCCTGCGCCGCCGGCCCGGTATCGGCCCCCACAAATGCCACCAGCACGCCGAGGATCTCCCCGGCCAGGGACTCATCGGGATTGGACCCGACAGGCCGGCTAGCCGGGGACACATCGACCGGGGTCTCGGCCAGGTCCAGGCCAGACTCCAGCACCTTGAGGAAGGCCCCCAGCGCCTGGTACGGGAAGTTGGGCCAGTGGCTCTGCAAGGCACGCAGGGCCACTGGCCAGGCGGCCACGGCGGCCGTGGCTGGCGAGTTCACCCGCGGCCCGTGCTTCTGCCGCGACCGGTAGGCCTTTCGCAGGTCACTCTGCAGCCGGCGAATGACCGCCAGCACATTGCCCGAATCCAGGGGGATGGTGCAGGGGACCGTCTTTTGCAGGATGGACCGGAAGGAGGCGTAATCCGTCGGGAAGGCCGGGGTGCCCTCCGACGGGTTGTCAGTGCCGGAGGGCGAGGAGGCCGGCGGCTGGGCGGCCGCCGAATCTCCAGAAGCCTCCTGCCGGGCCAAAGCCCGGCCCCGACCGAAGGCCTGGCGCAGAGCCTGGAGCTCCTGCTGCTGACGGCGTTCCTGCTGCGCCGCCGCATCACGCGCCTGACTCGCCGCCGCCTCGAAATACTGATCCAACACCAGGTCCAGCCCAGCCAGGGCCGAGGCAATGGCCTCCTGCTGCGGCTCCCAGTAGTACGAGCGGAGCCAAGTGAGCGCCTGTCCGGCGGCACTGACCAGCATCGGCAGCGTCGGCAGGGTGTTCCCATGGGTGGCCTCATGCCGGATGTCGATGAACACCTGGGGCAGCTCCAGGCGCTCGGCGATCATGGCAATGGAGCCGGCAAAGCCGCCCTTCTGCGCTGGGTCCACAATGCCATTGACAAAGCGAATGACCGCCAGCGAGAGGGCCAGTCGCAGGGACCCGGCTTGGGCCAGAGCCGGCGATGGCAGCGCGCCGGTCTGACAGAGCCCCGGCATGGGCGCATTGGCGCCCTCTCGCTCGGTGCAGCGATCCAGCAGCTCCACGAACTGGGCTGTCGATTCGACGGCCGGCGGGAGTCGCGGCAGGCGTGCGGCCCAGGTGCGCACACGCGCCACCCCGGCCGCCCGTGCCCACGGCGTCGAGCTGTAAAGCTGGTGGTAGGTGGCCTGCCACTCGCGGGTATCGGCCCACGGGACGTAGCGCATGCTGCGCGCGAGGCCCTGGGCATGGCGCAATGAGGCAAGCTGCGACTGGTGGTGGGAGTGGTGTTCGTCATGGTCGGCCGGCGTGGTGGCATCCGCACCGGGCGGATCCAAGCACATCCCGGCGTCCAGCGCTCCCATGATGTGAAAAGGGGAAATGGATCCGAAGAAAGAGGAAGGGAGGTCCGGACAGAGGGCCAAGAGGGAAGGGGAGGAGGAAGGCGGGCTCCTTTTCTTCCAGTCGGCAGGCAGGGATGTGCGAGTGTGGTGTTGGTGTTGGTGGTAGGGGGGGGGGGGGGAGGAGCGGGGGGGGGGGGGGGGGGGGGGGGGGGGGGGGGGGGTGGTGGCCTTTTTTTTGGTTGTGCGGTTCGTTTCTGGTTTTTGCTTTGTTTTTTTTTGTTTGCCGGTGCCTTTTGGTGGGCGGTTGTGGGTCTTGGGGGGGGGGGGGGGCGTCGGGACGCGCGTGCGCGATCCGGCGAAATTGGCAGACACCCACGCACACGACCATGCGCGCTCCTCCGGCGGGAGCTGGGTGTCGATAGCTGCCAACGAAGTGGACTACTGGCCCTACCTAGATGCTAGACCCTGCCGGCGGGGGGCGGGGGCGGGGAAACGACGCGAGCGCGCGGCCACGCCACATCGCCCCCCCGCCGCGCCGGCCGGTGTCGTGTTGGGGTGATAAGCGTGGCGTTGTGCATGGAGCCCGCCAATTGGCGACGGAGAGCGCTGCCGGGGGTTTACCTCTCGGCCTCGGCCTCCTTCTCCTGGGACCCTGTCTCGGGCTCATTCACAACGACACTCTCTTCGTCTCTTTGTCTCTTGCTTTCCCCCCCCCCCCCCCCTCGAGTGGCTTCAGTGGGTGAAAGCCAGGGCCTTTTCCGAGGCCCCACTTCCGGCCCTGGTCCGGGCAGACATGTACCCACCTCCCTCCCCCCCTCTTTCCTCCATTGCTGCTTGCGCCTCTTCCTCTCTCCAGCCGGCGCTCTTGCCCGCTTGTCTGCTCTCCTTCCCGTCCCCTCCCGCCTGTCCTTCCCTTTTTAGTGCGCCTCTCTGTCTCTGTCTCTGTCTCTCTCTCTCTCCTTGCTCCGCCCCGGTGTGCGCGCCGATTCGAGTCCCTTCTCTGCACTCCCTGTGGTCCGAGTGAGGGGTCGCTCGAGAACAGTAACAGCAAAAGCTGCCTTCGTCTCCCCATCCTTTTCCTTACACGCGCTCTTTCTCTCTCTCTCTTCCCCTTCCATCCGCCAGTGTCCGCCATGTCCGGGCACAGTGCCCCCGTGAAGACCGGCTACCGGCTGGAGCGGCTCCGTGATGAGGCGCAGAATAGCGCTAGCGATGTCCTGCGCCGGGAACACTCGGTCAAGCGTCCCCTTTCCATCCTGCAGCGTGATTCGTCCTCCGTGCGTGTCCCTTTGCTGCATATTTGGCCGCCATCTCGGCTGTCGCTGGCCGCTTGTCGCCCTGTTGTCCGACCAATTGGGCGTGCATCTTGCCACCAGTATTGACGCATGTGCTGTCCCTGCCGCCGCTGTCACCCCTGTCACCATGTTGTCCAGTTTGCCTCCTTCTTCAGCTGGACATCGAGCTGGGTGCGACAACTCGCACAGCCACACGCGTACCCGCGCGCGCGCACACACACACACACACACACACACACACCATTTATATATATGGCTTTTCTCTTACAGCTTCCACCCTGCCCTGACATCTCGCTTCCACATGTCAGACTGGGCCGACAGCAAGCTGCTGCTCTTCCGGCCTGTGGCCACCGGCAGCGAGGCGCCAGGCGCTCGCGTTGCCGGCTCCCGGACTGGCACCGGCTCCTTTGGCCCAGGACTGTCCCTCACTGGGTCTGACCTGACCCGGGACCTGTCCAACTCGCTGGCCGGCTCTTGTGGGGTCTTCTCGCAGTCGGCTTTCGTGGCTGGCGGTTCGGCCGCCACCGGAGCCGGTCCTGGCGGCCCGAATGGCTTCCGCATGGTGACTCACTACTCGCGTGCCATCACCCAGCTGACCAACCATCGGATCTCGCGGACCCCCTTCCCCATGGCCCTGAGTGTGCACGACTCCCTGAAGTCGGAGAAGGTGCGCTGAGCCGCGCCTCCCCATGGCCTCCCCTTCGCTTGCTCCCATGCTTACCCTCCCGGAAACTCTTCCCCCCCCCCCCCCCCCCCGCTCCAGGGCGACCGCATTGTCAACATCTGGGAATTGGTGGCCTTCCTGACCGGGGAGATTGCCCCGCCCGAGCTGGCGGGCAAAGACTACTCCATCTTCTCGTGCGCTCGATGTCTCCCCGGGACTGCCGCCCCTTGACCGCATCTTCCTCCTTCCTCCATCCCTTTCCGGCTGCCGCGCGGACTTTGCTGACGCCTTATCACGGTCTCTCTCTCTCTCTCTCTCCCCCCCCCCCCCTCCGCCCTCCACACACAGGCCGGTATACTTGGTCTCGGCTGCTCTGACCTTCCTGGAGAAGAAGTACGCTCGCTCGGTCCTGGGCCCCTGACCATCCCTCTTGGTTTTCCCTTTCCCCTCTCCCCAAGCCGCCCGCTGACCCGCCCATGGTCGACTACGCGCGCGCGCGCCGTTTGTCCGCGCATTTCCCGCCTGCGTTCCTGCGGCGCACAGGTACTGCGAGTACATCCGCCGGTGCCTGGATGAGACCCTCCGGCAGACCCTGCCCGGGGGTGAATTGGGCTTCGACCATCTGGTCCGGGCGTTTGTTCGGTCGCTGGTGGCCACCGACGTGTCGATTCTGCCGTCGCTGGAGCAGGAGGGCGGGGAATTCTTCTGGCCGCAGATCTACTACCTGCTGCGGTGCGGCAAGTTCGACCTGGCCGAGGCCTATGTGCGGAGCCCCGCCTGTGCGCCGCTGGTCCGCGAGGAGCCGGAGTTCGCCGGGCTCCTCCACGAGTACATCCATTCTGCCGGGCAGACGGCCGGAGGCGCCTCGACCGCTGGCGGGCGTCTGCGGCAGTTGTCGCGCGACTCGCAGGGGCTGGCCCAGCAGCAATTCGCCCGCCGGCCCCAGCGCGATGTCTTCCGGACGGCGGTTTACCGGCTGATTTGCCAGCTGGACACCAGCCTCAGCCCGGGGGTCATCGCCACCACCGAAGACTACCTGTGGCTGCAGCTGGCCATGATCCGAAAGGAGACCGCCTTGCCATCTCTGGCGGCATTGCAAAAGCGTGTCCTGCGTGTGGGGGCCGACCATTTCAGCGACCACGGCGTCAACCCGACCAACTACCTGCAGGTGCTGCTCCTGTGTGGTCTCTTCCCGCAGGCGGTGGACTACCTGTGGTCCACGCCCGGGCACCTGGATGATGCCTTCCATCTGGCCGTGTGCCTGGTGTACCATGGGCTTCTGGAGCGGGCCCCGGCGGCGACGGCCGCCACCGGTGACGGCGGTGCCCATCGGCCCGATGGCAGCCCGGCGCACGGTGCCTTGGCTTCATCGTGGGCCAGCGCGGCCCTCGGCCAGTCGGTGCTCGGAGCCACGTCGTCGGCCTTCGGCGGGGCGGGCTCCGGGTCGGTGTTGGTCCCGGCCCCGGGGGCCGGCAGGACCAATGGGTCCGGCCCGGCCGTGGCCGGAGCCCGACTCCCCTCGGCCGAGATGGCCCTGGACTTTGCCGGCATGCTGATGGGGTACCTGTCGAGCGGGATCTTCCGTGATCTGCCGGAGCTGTCGTTCTTCTACCTGCTGCTCATTTCCCTGGGGACCGGGGAGCGCGCGGCCCCGGGGCGTCTGGCCGCCGGGGCCGGGCCCGGCGAGGAGCAGATCTGCCTGAACTTCCTGCAGGTGCTGCTGGTGCGGCATCCGCACCTGATCGAGCAGTTCCTTGGCGACGCGCCGGCCGGCCTGCCGGATCGCGGGACTGTCGGCCTCATCGAGAAGTATGGCGAGCTGTTCCTGGACCCGATGACGGTCGGGACCACTGGCGGGGCGCCCAGCCGCGCGGTCATGGCGTACCGTCTGGCGTCGGCCGCGTCGCAGACGGCCCAGCTTCAGGGCCGTCTGGACCTGGCCGTGCGCCTGGCCTATCTTGCCGGGGACTTCGTGCGCACGGTGGACCTCATGTGCCTGCTGCTGGGTGACCTGAATGCCGTGCCCGAGGAGACTCTGGCCGAGGCGCGAGGGTGCGTCGCGGGTCCTTTGCGGCCATTTGTGGCCTTCCTCTTCTCTTCCCCTGTCCTCTTCGGCGTCTCTCTCTCTCTCTCTTTCCGCTCCCCTCTTTTGGCTGACCCCTGTCTACCTGTCTGATTGTTCGCAGCGTCATCGAGACTCTCAGCCGGCTGAGCCGCAGCGCGGAGCTCACCGACCGCATCGCCACCTTGCAGCACCTGGTGTCCATCAGCAGCGTCTTCAACCTGGAGCGCGAGGGCAACCTCGATGGGGCGCTCGGGCTCCTGGAGACGGTGCCATTCTCGCCGATTGCCCTGCCCACGCAGGACTCAACCGCCGATGCGGCCAGTCGACTGCGCCTCTCGGACGCGGCCCTCGTCGCCTCGAAGAACCCCTTCATCTCTCGTCACATGCCGTCGCTTGTTAGTCTGACCAGCAACCTGTTGGCCAAGAAGTACTTCCAGCTGACCGGGCGTCCGGACCCGGCTCTGCAAAGCGTGCGTGCTCCCCCCTCCCTGAATTCAGGCGTCCAACTGCCCGATTCCTTGGCTGCCGCCCTTCTGCCATGTGAGGCCCATCTTTCCTAACCACACGCACGCGCGCGCGCGCGCCCGTATGTGCCCCCACCACACCCATGGCCCCATCTCCTCCAACCTCGCTGTGGTCCATATGCATGATGGGCATGTCTATGCATACTGCCACAGTACCTGAGCCACATCCGGTCGCTTCACAACCAGCTTGTGCCGTTCGTGGCCATCAATGCCATCCCCCTCTCGCCGGATATCAACGCCATCCTGCTGCAGCGGGACGCGCAGCTTTTCTGAAATCGGCCCCATGCCTCCATCGTGGTGCTGCCGTTGCTGCCGTTGCTGCCTCTGCGCTTCCGGTCCCGTTGGGTAGAGGCATCTCCCAGCACAGCCATACGGAGGAAGTATGGACCCCCCTCCCCGCCCCCATCTCCCCCCGATCTTGTCCTTCCTCTTTTGATTATTTAAATATACCTATTTCTCCCCTGAAATGTAGGATCGGGGGATATTTCGTGCATGTGACATGGCGACACCACGTGCAAGTCATGCCGGACCATTTCGATGGGCCCATTCCTGGCCGCAGTGGGCCCCAGGCAGGGGGTGCACATTAGTATACCCACGTCTGACTCCATCATGTCCCTGGTTCTCGGCCTCCTGGCACCCCGCCACTGTCTTCGGGGGGACGGAGGGAGTGGGGGGAGGATGTCTGGGACAAGATTCTCGGGCTCCGAGGCGTGCTCGCGTCTGCACGAGAAGGGGTGCGCGCGCGTGCGTGTGTAAGCCTGGGCATGTCAAGTTTTGTGCCCTGGTGTGTCGCTTCGCCCCGGGCGTCCCTTGGTCCATGGGGTTCTCGGCGTATTTCCTCGCTTTCCCCTCCCTCCGAAAGGCCACCGGGGAGGGACTCTCACCCGAAATGGGATCGCGTTTTGTTCGCATTCATCCGCGTTTTCTGTGCCGCCCCGCCTCGGTATGGGGCTTCGGCCCCCGGGTGTCTGGCCACTTTCTCGTTCTCCGGCGGGCTCTTCCCGCTCCCTCGCTCTCTTCAGGCCGGGCTCGCTGCCCTGCTGCCGGATATGGGCGTCCCCCTCCATGGGCCTCTCTCTTGCCCCGGGCGGGCATTCTTCTCGGGCTGGCTTTTAGCGTGCTCGGGCCGCGCAGCCGCGCAATGCGAGCATGGGATTCCCTGGCCGGGCGGACAACAGGCGTTCTTGAGAGTTCCCGCATACCAGCCACGGGGGGAGGGCGGGCGGGGGGACCTCTCACAGGAGTGCATGCTGTGAGGGAGCGACCGAAGGTGCGCACGAGCGCGTGCGTGAGTGTGTGTGTGTGTGTGTATCTCCGTCTGAGTGTGTCTCAGGGGTCGTGCTGGCGATATTCAGGGGCTTAAACGCTTTCTCCCGCACACTCGGCCGAGGTGAGGACCCCATCGGCAGCCCGGTACGGGGGTCGTCATTGCAGGGCCTGGTGGGCCCCCATATCCCGCGCCCCCACCCCCCTCCCCCCTGCGCTGCTGCCCCCCGCCTGGGCCTCTGCGCGGACGGGCGGAAAATGCCGCGGCCCATGCCGGCACCTGCATTTGCCGGTGCCGGTGCCGGTGCCGGCCCACTGGCCCGAGAGACGGGCCCTTGTAGCAGGGAGCTTTCGCATGCCGGCATGTCAGGCCGCGGCCGGCGTCCCGGTGCCAAGGCAGGAGAGCCAAGCGCCCCCCGGAGAAAAACCGCCCCTCGAAGTGTGCCCCGAGGGCGTGCGCACCCACTGGAGGGGCCGGGGGGGGGGGGGGGGGGGGGCACGGCAGCGGGTGCATCTCTTCGGGGCCCATCGCATGGGAGAGCCCCGCCCTGCCGCCCCCCTGCCCGTCGGTGGGGGAGGAATGTCCGGGCCCCGGCCCCCGCCCCCGCGCCGGCCCCTCTGCCTCACACGCAGGCAGGTGCAGTGGAGGCGCTCCCGCGAAGCCGGGGCGGTGGGTGTTCCCCGCGGCGGGGAACATGGGGGCCCGTATGGCCGGGCAATATATGCATTTTGGCCCAGCACGCATGCGCACAGTGTCGCATCTCAACAAAACCAAACACCCAGACCGAATGAGGGGGCACACAGATGCGGGCTCGTGCGCGCCGGCGCGCGCGCGCGCGCGCACGCGCCTGGCGGCCCGGCTGCAGCTCGGCGGGCCTGGGCCCGGGGGCGGCGGCGGCGGCGGCGGCGGCGGCCTTGGGCAGGTGTGTCATCTCGTGCGCCGCACTGGCCGGCTTCAGGTCTCCTCACTTGCCCCGGGTCGCAGTCGGACCGGGCGCGCAAAATCCCTAATTGTGCCAAAGGAAAAAAACAACAACAAACAATCACAGCATGTGTCTTCGTGCCGGCGCCGGTGGCCCCGCCGCTCATGCACTAGCGAACTCACGGACACATAGGTGGCCGCGCGCCCCGGTGCGTACCCGTGGCGCGGATGCCCCTGCGGCCGGCGATCTCTCCAGTGGTCGGGTCACGGCCAGGTCCTTGCGCCCCCGCGTTTTCCACCCCACCACGGCCCCGACCTCAGGCGGGTCCCCACTCGGATGTTAATAGTGTCCGATGTTTTTTTTGTTTTTTTTTGCCTCAACCATCCTCCGCCGTGGTTTCCAGCGCCCCTGCCCCGTTGCTCGGTCTTGTTCGAGCGCGGCGCACACCATCAACTGCAACAGGCATTTCGCATTTTCATTTCATCCGTCGGCCTGCCCTGGCGCACATACCCCGCGCGCCTCAAGAGGCGAGCTCAGACGCGCGCCCACCCCGCGACGGAGGACGGACGCCAACACGGCCGGCGTCAGGCTACCATCACTTCCGGCATCCTCTGACTGGTCGCCGGTGTGGCCCGGCCTCCCCCCCCCCCCCCCCGCCTCCCCGCTGGCCTGGCGCACACCCGGCGGATGGCCGGCCTGCATGGCCACCTACTGCGTGCGCTTTGGCGCCCGGCGGAGAGACGCACCAAACGCGCCTTTTGCTCGGAAACTGACGAGAAGTGCGTTGGGGCATGGGCCGGGACAACGTTTCGTCCGGCGAAGCACATGTTCTCCCCCTCTCTGCCCCTGTCCGGGACTGAATGTGCGCCCAGACGACCATGCTTTCGGACCTGGGCCCCGTTCCCGGGGGGGGGCTCAGAGGGGGGGGGGGCGGGGGGGCGAGGGGCCGGGCATGTTCGGGCCACCCCTGTGCACAGATCGCCTGGCCCTGGCACGATCCCCGCCAAGTGGGGCCGGGCTCGCGGACCCCCTACCCGCCTGGACACCGCGCCGTCGCCGTTCCGGTTCACGCCCGCCCGTCCGACCCCTCGAGGTCCCCGCGTTCCCCGACCGTGCCCCTAGGCCCGGCCGGGGGATTGCCGGGCCTCCGGGGCGCGGGCGGGGGCCTGCGCTGGGGCTGCCGTCGTCCGCGCGCCCCGGGACTTCGGCGTCTCGCTCGTCCGCCCAACCCCCTTTGCTACGGCGACCGCCGTTGGGCGGCAGGCTTTTTTTTTTTGGTGCACGTTCGCCAGGCCCCGGGGTCGCTCCGGGGCCGTTGGTCCCCCCTCCCTCTCTCGCTCTCGCCCCCGGGCGCGCGCGCACGCGCCCCATGGCTGGCGTGCGCGGTACGATCCCCCCGCTCGCAGGTTGTTTGGACTTTCATCGGCCGGAGGGCACAACGCCGCGAGTGGGGGCGGGGGGGGGGGGCAGGAGCGGGAAACGGGGGGAGGGGGCGGACGGACGACGGGCGATGATGCCCCGCCCTTTGTTCCCGCTGATTGACTCGGAGTTGCTGTGTTTTTTTTTCTCTCTCGCGCGCGGGGCCTCGCCTAGACCCATGCCGGGCATCCTTGGTCGGCGGCCGGGCGCCGAGGGACAGTGGGCAGGCGCCCTCTCTTTCTCTCTCTCTGCATGCCTCCTGTGGCCGCTCCTCCGCCCGGTCTCGCTCGCCGACAAAAGGGGCCCCGCGGCTCCTCCCGGACCGGCCCCGCCGGTTGGGCCAACATACTTTCTCCCCCCCCCTCCTCCCCTCCCTCCCCGCCGCTCGCGCCGCGCCTCGCACCCTGCCTCCTCCCCTCGCACGTTGTTCGCTCGCCCTTGCCCTCGCAGCTCCTCGTCTTTTGCGTTTGGGGTCCCATCTCCCTCGCTGCTGCTGCTGCCGCCGCCGCCGCCGCCGCTGCCGCCGCCGCCGATCGGTCCTCCCCTCCTGCTTCCGGACCTCCCCTGCTCCCTTCGCCTCTCCGTGTGAGCCTTAGTGCGCGCGCGCGCGCGATCCCGTGCGTCCCCTCGTGCGTGTTCCCCCCATCTCCTTCTTCCTCTCTCTCCCCCCCTCTCTCTCCCTCTCTCTCTCCCTCTCTCTCTCCTTCTCTCTCTCCCTCTCTCTCTCTCTCTCCCCCTTCCCCCTCTCCTCCACGCACACACACACACACACACATGCGTGTACCAGTCTACCAATGCGCCAGCATAGCAAGCTGCCCCTCACCTTGCCTTCCCTCCCCTCGCCTGCGCCTGACCCCTGCCCCGATTGCCCACTCAGATAGATCCCATCATGGCTCCCCCCCCGGCTGTGAAGATTGTTCGGGTCGATACCCCGGCGTCCCTTCCGACGCCGGCCCCATCGACGCTGAACGGCAGCTCCGAGGCGCTGGACATCGAGTCAGATGCCCCGTCACAGTCGGCGCTCTCGCCAGAGGAGACACGCGCCGCCAAGCGCCGGAATGCTGTCATGGAGGTCCTTACCACTGAGCGCGTGCGTTGTCTGGCTGTCTGCGCCCCTTGCCTCCCCTCCCCCCTCCTCCGGCATTTCTGCCTCGCTCTCCCCCAGTCAGGTGTCGCCGCCCTTCCATCTGACCATGGATCCCTTCTGCTGCCCCCCCCCCCC